CCTGGTTTTGAACGGATATTTTCCACACCAAAGTTTCGAGGCTGCTTATTTTTTTCTCGAACACAGTACCCTTCGGTTGCAACATAACCGTAATATTTTTTTTCTGTAACTTCTATTTTTGATAGATTTACGTTACTCTATAAGCGTACGAATGTCGCGTACGGCTGTATGGAAACACCGATATATTTATTTTAAAATTAGGTACAACTTGACATTTAAGAACAATTTAAAATAACGATTAAACCAAAAGATAAATAACAAAACATATTGTATGTTTTAATTGAGGATTGTTATTAAAAAAAAATAAATACATACATAATTCACAAAGTTTTTTAATATGAAGAAAAAGCACGACTTGGTACTATATACATACCTATTTCTAGGGATGTATGTACGAAAAATTGTGTTATAAAATTTTTGAATGAATATTCATTCACTCTGTTCAGTGTACCTACTTTGTTCAACAATAATGCGTCCTCAACCTGCTTCGCCTATTGTTTGCATACAACTAAATAAAATTTGTTGTTCTTCTACTCTTTCTGTTGACGTTCGGATTGTGTACGTGTAAGAGTCTGATTATGCATACTTCGCATAACTTCGCACAACCATTTGTACCAGAGCACTGAAAGTATAACTTAAGAAAATGTGAAGCAAAATCTAAGCTCAACAGATCGCTAAGTTTTTAAAAGTTCTGCTAATATATTGTTTGTCGTGCTGTGCAGACGTGTTTTTCTTTGCTCTTGGATTTTCATATTGAACACATAAACAAATCGCTTTCGCGCATTCATACAAACAAATAAACAATCCGTTTTCCGCATACACACATATTTGAGAGTGCTGGTGATATTTCGCTACCCTGATTGAAGCCTTGACCTTTTCTGGGAATAAAAATAATAATAATTATAAAGTGCCCTAAGAAGTTTTTTATTTTCGCTATGTCTGTTCGTGCATCGACCTCTTCTGCAGCGAACAAACGTCCCCTGCGGGGACAGGAGTCCCCTGCTGCTAAAGTGGTAAAGCTGGATGAAGACATCACCCTTATTGCTGTCTTTGCAAAACTAAAGCAACTCGAAGTGAAAATACAGCAACAAACGGACAATCTGCTGCCGCTAGTTGAGAATGTCTCTCAGAAATTGTCAGAGCTGGAGAACAAATTAACAAAGCGAATAGATGATGAGATAGCTGTGTTTACTGAGAAAGTGGCCGAGACGACTACGCGCTTAACTTTGATGGAAGCTAATATGAAGAAGGCTGAAAGCGATATTGCCTACCTACAACAGCAAGTTTCTAGTGCACTACAACAAAAACCTACTCCTGATATTTCTGCTGATGCTGTTGTGTTTGGTGTGCCTTATGCGGATGGGGAGAACCTAAAGAGCATATTTAACCAGATTTGTCTCTCCATCGATTTCATGTCTCCACAAATTCGCGACATCTTCCGAACGCGCCCCACTGCCAACCGCAACGGCGTGATTGTCGTTAAATTTCACTCCCCGCATGATCGCAATCGCACCCTTCGCGCTTTTGGGGAGTATCGCAGGCGAGTTAGATCTGCAGTGTCATTAAGCTCCATTGGAATGGATGGAATTTTCCACATATTTGAGAGTCTCACTCAAGAGAAAAGGCGCTTACTACAAGAGGCTATCAAGCTACGCAGAGAGGGTAAGCTGGTATCGGTATACACAATGCGAGGCGAGGTGCACGTAAGAAATGAAAAAGACAAAAATAGCCCCGCTATCAAATTAACCTGCGAAGATGATTTAGCGCGCTTTCGTTAGGTATAAGATTTTGTTTTTATGTTCCCTCTGTTATGTATTCATTGTTGTAAAGTTGGCACATCTCAGTTTATGTTTGTTTGTTCTTAATATTGTTATCCCTTATGCTTTAAAGTTGCTTTTGTTTATACGCGTAAAATATCATGGTTGTACCAGCAGCAAAACGGCTAACATTGACAATTGTAGTCGTGCAATGGTGAACATCATGTGCGGTCAACAAACGGGTTTGAACATTGTTCATTTTAATGCGCGCAGTCTTAATTCTGAGAAAATGGATATAGTAAGGAACACTTTTGAATTGTCTCCAGTCGATGTTATATGTGTATCTGAGACGTGGTTCAGGTACAATGTAAGCAGTGTCCATTATGATATTAATGGTTATAAGTTGTTTCGTTCTGATAGGGTAGATAGAAAAGGTGGTGGAGTTGCTATTTACTGCAAAAAGCACCTAAAAACCAAACAGGTTTCGCAGTCACATTCAGAAAGAAGCTGCGTGGAGTACCTGTCTGTCGAAATGTCTAGCCCCTCGTCCAAAATCCTATTGTCTTGTGTGTATAATCCCTATAAGTATTTCAGCCTATGTGACTTTTTTAATTTTCTGTCCACTGTTTCTGTAGATTATGACCATATAATTCTTTGTGGTGATTTTAATGTGAACCTGTTATGTCCTGATTCTACCAGTGCTCGTTTAATAGATGATATCTCCTGTGTTGGGTTGTCTATGGTTAATTTGTCGGTGCCCACAAGATATGGTAGCAATTGCTGTCCCAGCTTATTAGATTACTTTGCTGTATCTGATCCTTCTATTGTTTTGAAATTTGACCAAACATCTTTTATATCTGATCATGACTTGATATTTTGTTCTTTTGACGTTAAACTTGATCACTATGACGACAATACCTATGTATTTAACTTCTTTGACTACCGTTCCTTAGATGTCAACAACCTTTTCAGTAGCCTCTTGCAGATCGATTGGTCTGTTTGCTGGGGTCTCAGCACGGTCAATGAGAAGCTCCGTTTCCTAAACGAAAATATATTAAATTCGCTCCTCACTCATGTCCCTACCCGAACCTGTGACAGGTCTTCTTCCTGCCGTTGGTTTAATGGTGTGGTCCTATCAGTGATTAAAAAACGCAATAAATATTATAACATATGGAAAAGGAACCCGACAGATGAGAACTGGAGTGCTTTCAAAACAATAAGGAATGAAGCTACCTCGGTTATAAGACGTGAAAAGAAAAAATTCTTTATGAATAAGCTGGATCCCTCACTGCCTAATAATGTATTGTGGCGAAATCTGAGAACACTCCGCGTCCATGCCAGTGAGAAATCAGAATGCTCGTTGAGTCCTGAAACGCTTAGCGTTGCCTTTGCTTCTCCGCCTTCATCTTGTCCCCTTACGACCAACTCTGTAGCCTCCTGTCCGGTCTCTTTTGCTGGCGAAAAGTTTGAGTTCATTGCTGTGAGCGAGATTGATGTGGTGAAATCTGTTTTTAAGATCAGGTCCAACGCAATCGGGGAGGACGGCATTCCGATTAGATTTGTGAAGGTAATCTTACCGATTATTTTGCCAACCTTGACACACATAATAAACCATAGTCTCACCACGTCCTGTTTTCCCGATGCCTGGAAGATTGCTACTGTGCTTCCTGTAGCCAAAAATAAATCCGCATCCAGCCCTAGTGATTTCCGACCCATCAGCATACTACCAGCCTTGTCTAAAGTTTTCGAATCTTTGTTATCTGAACAAATCTCTTCCCACATCGGTAAATTCAACCTTATATCCCCATTTCAATCCGGATTCAGACCCCACCACAGCTGCTCTACTGCAATGGTAAAGATACTTGATGACATTAGAATACTGTTCGACAAGAACCACTTAACACTACTATGCTTGCTGGACTTCTCTAAAGCCTTTGATTCAGTTAGCCATGAACTACTGTGCTTTAAATTAAAAAACTACTTTGGGTTTAGAGAGTCAGCAGTAAAACTGATGCGTAGCTATCTGAAAGAGAGGTCTCAGCGTGTCAAGGTTGGATCTCAAATATCTGAACAAAGGCCTTTGTTCACGGGTGTCCCACAAGGGTCAATCTTAGGACCACTACTATTTAGTTTGTTCGTTAATGATATATTTCGGACTTCTATGCACGCCAACATGCATGCCTATGCGGACGATGTCCAGCTCTACATGTCAGGTCCTCTGGAGGACTCAGCTAATTTGTGCGCAAGCTTCAACAGGGAACTGATGTCTATAAGGTCCTGGGCACAGTTAAATGGTCTTTGTCTTAATTGTGACAAGTGTTTTGTTTTACCTATTTGTAAGAAACGTCTTAACCTAGCAACTATTCCATCGTTTCACATTGGTGGCAAACCAATTAAATTTGTATCAAAAGTAACTAACCTTGGGTTTATTATCAACACTGGCCTTACCTGCATTGACCATGTGAATTCAACTGTAGGCAAAGTCTATAATACTTTAAGGAATTTACGAATGTCTGCTCCATTTACACCGGTAGAAATCAGACGTAAACTCGCAATCCAACTTATATTGCCAATTATCTGTTATTCTGAGGTAGTCTACAGCAGGTTAGATTCCCAATCAGCTCACAAAATAGATGTAGTATTTAACCAGATCACGCGCTATGTGTTTGGGCTAGCAAGATATGAACATATTTCCGCTTGGAGAACGCGCCTACTTGGCTGCGAAATTTCTGAATATCTTAAAGCTAGAAATTGTGTATTCCTTTTTCGTCTCATGACAGATAAGGCACCCAAATATCTATATGAAAAATTAATGTTCCCCAAATCCACTCGAGTAAAGGACTTGACTGTTCCTACCTACAATTATCTCAGCTCTGCACGGCTATTCTTTGTCAATGCTATCCGCATCTGGAACTCTATTCCATCCCATATTCGCAGTAGTTTAAACAAAAGCAACTCTAAAAATGTTCTGTATGCATATTTCCGTTAGCTTCACTTCAGTCCCTGTGATGTGCTCTCTATGTACTTGTTTAATTAAGTCTTATTTTAAGTATATGTCCTGGAATTGTAGAACTCACTTAAAAATACTACTCTGTTAATTATATTATGTTACTTTTATTTAGTCTTAAGTAATTTTTGCTGTTTTAGTTATATGTATGTGCTGTTATGAATTTTTTGTTGCGCTATAAAATATCATTCTTTTGATCTTATTGTGCTAATGATTTTATTAATAAATGAAATGAAATGAAATGGAATACATACAAAATACATACAAAGTACATAAGAAATTACAGTTTGAAGTTTATGCGAAGTTGTGTGAAGTTATGCGAAGTATGCATAATCAGACCATAAGAAGCCGAATGTGTACATGTGAAAGGCCGAATATAGTTCGTTTCCCAGGAAAGTGCTTGGCGGGCACTGCTCTAAACACAAACGCGTAAAAGGCAAACGGTCTAGCAATGCGTGCGTACAATTTTCTTTCCAACCGAAGTAAAAACAAGTAAGAAAGTCTAAGTTCGGGCGGAGCCGAACATTAAATACCCGGCGCAAGTATTAAATATATGTTTTCCACCTTTCCGAAAGCTGCCGCTACATGATAAGCCGGGGTGTATACATTTTAAGTAAATTAGCTTCCTTAAATTTCGAAATATTGAAATTTCAAGCATATCTGAAATTTACCGTTATATGAAAAGCGGCCTCAATTTTAGTCCGATTTCAACAATTTTCAACGGTTTGCTTTTATGTGGCAAGCACAATAACCATACCGAGCTTGGTACAAATTGCTAGAACGGTTAGCGAGATACATATATGTGATCACACGTGGGCGGTGCTACGCCCATTCGCCAAAATTTTGTAATATTCTTATTTTTCGCCTAAAACTCATTGCAAATATCAATTTTGAGTGAATTATCTTCAGTAGTTACTAAAATATCGCAGTTTTCGTTTTTCTGAAAATTACCGTTATATGGGAGGTAGGCGTGGTTATTGTCCGATTTTTTAAATTTTCAGCCATTTAGTATGCTGTGCTAAGGCCAACAACTGTGCCAAGTTTGGAAGAAATTGGTGCAGCGGTTACCAAGATATACACATGTACCCTTGTGCACAAGTGCGCTCGGGTATAAAAAATAAATACATACATAATTCACAAAGTTTTTTAATATGAAGAAAAAGCACGACTTGGTACCATACTCATACCTATTTCTAGGGGTGTATGTACGAAAAATTGTGTTATAAAATTTTTGAAGAATATTCATTCACTCTGCTCAGTGTACCTACTTTATTCAACAATAATGCGTCATCAACCTGCTTCGCCTATTGTTTGCATCATTGTGGAAGAATACAAGTGAGATATCTTAGGGTTGACAGATAGTTGACAGGGTGTTCAATATGGCGATGACAGTGTGAACAATATGGCAGCCAATATGGCATACAACACCGAATGGCCCGAAGTAGCCAAACTACGACCCGAATGAAACGCTTCGTGAAAATCTAGGGTTGCGAAGTGGTATTTTGTTGGAAATTATAAAAGCCAGGATTTTGTGCAGCGCCGAATTTTAACAAAAGAGGGTTTTGTGTTCTCAAGATGAACAGAAAAGGGTTGCTGTGCTGTTTCGTTTTAAGCTTATTTTAATCTTAAGGTATCTAATTAAATATTAAAAGGAGACAAAAATTAAAGCAAAAATTTAAAATATATGTACATATCTGAAAATTTTAAATAAAATATATATTTTCACGAGAGACAAATTAAATAAAATGGGTTAACTTTAGGGGAAATATACTTATCAGATTGGGTCAGATAGCGCTTTTACATTATAAATAAAAATAATTCCTACTTAAATTTTATATAATTTTGGTAACGTATTTCTAAGCTGACCCTGAGATCTGTGAAATAATACATATTTATGTGCATATATTGTGTTGATTATGCTCTAAATCGCTAAATAATTCTTGCAGCAATCAGCACCATTGGAAAGTGAAGTGACAATAGGCTGGTTTTCTTTATACAGCCCGTTTTAAATTCGTATTATTGTTATAATAAATTACAATTATTGTTTGTTTCCATTTCGGTCAACCGCGCAAATTATTTATTAAAAAAAGTTCGTTTAAAAATAGCAATTTTGTTTACTTTTGAATAAGACTTTATCGAGTGCGCTATAAAGACAGGGGGATAAATGCTGTAAAGAAATATATGTTGAGTCCAATCGGTTTTTTGCTAATCCGGTTTTTGTGTAGGTATAAACAAGGTATATTAAAAAAATAAATCTCCATGAAAAAATATCGTTATTTTCGTATTTAAAATTAATCGGAATTTTATGGGGGGTTATAAAAACTCGTTTTAATTGAAACTTTGTTTTTTTCGGCTATATTTGTTATTATTTATTGGCCCAGATGCAAATATTGTATGAACTAACATATTTTAAATATTTACGGAACTACCATTTGTATGCAACCCTTCCTAATCTGTATTCAAGTAGATGTAATTCGAAAAATTTAAACGGATTTCTTTAAATCAACCTGAGCTGCGGACATATTGCGAATTCATTTTAAAACATTAACCACTACATTATATTAGTATTAAATACTTTCAATTAAGAAACAATTCTTATTAGAAAATAAATATGAATCGGTTTATTTTAAATATTCCAATGTATATTTTTTGTTAATGCAGATAGTGCGGATTTAACGTATTTTATAACCGTTACATGGGGAAAAGAAATTTTAGGCAGATTGTTATTGACAATTTTTACATAATTTACGATTGCAATCAATTTCTTTCAAAACTATAATCTAAATGATTGCAAGTTGTATTTTTTACGATCAAAACAGATTCCAATATTAGGTATATTATGCAAATGCAATCCAATTTGATTTGAGTTATTCAGTTTTAGATACATTTATATTTCTGTGTTCGTATGGAATAGTAGTTTATGTCGGGAAGCTGGCTTTAGTATAATCCGGCATTCCCTTTATTATTTACAACACAAGGAATTTTTTGATGACTCTTAACAAGAATATGGACGTGCTAGTATCGCAACTATTTCTTGCACGTTTATTTATCCAAAATTTCTTCAACGGCTTGGCGCCAGTGAGGGTATGCTGCGAATGAAGCATTATACTAAAACCAGCCTTTCGACATAAGCTACTATTCCATACGAGTGGAGCACGTGCGAAATGCGGATTTTCCCAGTTGCAGTACAGCAGTAACTCGACACCTTCCTCACCAACCGCTCTGTCCTCTATGAGCTTCTTAATGTAACTGCAAATAAAAGATGAAAATTTGAGAATAAATACTATCACAGCGTTTCACTTGTAGCGTTTCACTCTTGTAGTATATTGGCTATCAAGCACCAGAAAATTTCCATCACGCATTCCATATGCCACCGATTGTCGTGGATCAATTAAAATACTGTCATCACAGCTTTTTGGTACTCCAGCAACTGGTGTGTCTTTGGCGGAGTTATGTGGAGCTGTTGCATGACTAAAATCAATTTGGGCTCTTTGAGAACTGGCTTGTTTGTTGCGCGCTATTGGCATCAAATGTATGCAAATTAGATTTCCAAACGGGCAACTGTTGAATACAGGAAAAAATGTATTTTATATGGTTCCGCTAAAGTGCACTACTACCGTGTATAAATTGGCCGACCTTCTAATAAATCAAGCAATCTTATTGTATCGTCATCGCCGCCAGTCACCAAGAAATTTCCACTTGGGTGAAATGCAACATCATTCTCCGAATGCACTGTATTAGCTCGCCTTCAGCTTTTTCAAATATCTTAACGCGGTTACAACTTAATGCTAAAGCCACCAGATTGCCGTCTGGATGC